CATTTAAGGAAAATACTCGTAGTTACAAATGCGACTAGATACAATTTATAGGAAGGTGTATGCTTAATATTTTGTGTGTCATTCTTCGGATCCTGCTCGCCTCCTTTTTGTTATGCTGCAGGCGTTATGCAAGGCGTCTCGTATTGACACGGATGCATTTAAGGCAAATATGTAGTTTGCTCAACCATGCTGCTGCGCAAGATGAAGACTACTTTCGGCTGTCCCATTCTCAATGCCTCAGAATGACAGTTCGTAGTAAATTGTTTGTGAGATTGCAAGTAAGTTATGTAACAGGAACTAATTCTTTCCTTGGCTTTGTTTGTTGTAAGAGCTTTGACCGCGGCTCTACCTATCATCAGTCTTATTTATCTAAGGTAGGTAATGCTATAGTATTTCGCGTGAGTAATAATAATCTAGATACAAAAGCCTTATCTCGGAGTAAAAAATAAATAAAAAGAGAATAACAACGAGTACGTTTGTTTATACAATTTTGTAATAATTTCATAAAATACCTGTAATTACTGTAGACCTATAAACATTTTATTTGGATTTCTAAATCAAAATTAACTGCTTACCTTTTGAAATAAACTTTTTAGCTACTTATCNGGTTCTCCTTTCTATTTTTTCATGGTAGTACAGACCATTTAGTGTTGTGCTAATTTCATTTTTTTTTATTTCAGTGCATCAGGAATCTACTTCTTCAGGACCAATTCAGATTCTCCGTACTGTAGAGGCCGCAACAAAGGTTCTTCGTACTCCGAACAAAACGACAGATGATGACATAAAAAGCTTTAATAAAATAAAAATTATTAATATTATATCGCATAGCTATGCCTGCGAGAGTTTTTAGCCTAATATATGTTAAAATTAATATAAGAACTATATCTGCTATTGATTATATTCCACGACCACAAGGTTACCTCGAAAACGATCTACTTATTTATAAATTTAAATTTTTATCTCTTTGTGATGTTTTATATTAAAACAATAAATATTTACTTTGCTCGACATAAAGTTCTACTTCCTTGTGTACGTAAATGGCATAACATTTAATAAAGCAATCCTTTGGCTTCCTCACAGTCGGATAAAAACATGATTACCTTCATAACATAGTGAATTGTGGATTACGGGTTCAAATTCCGTCAGTTTCAATGTTGCATTAATATTTTCACGTATAAGTTATTTAATTTTGAAACATACCATGATTGTTTCGCAAGATGTACCTACCTACTTATATTTCTTTTACAAAATCGAATAACGTCCATTAATCATGAATGACACTAAAACCCTGACCTACATTAATGGTGTCTCTATGTTGCATAGGTATTAGTGAGCTACGTTAAGCTGCCTTGATAGTAGCTGAGTTGGTTTTATAAATATAGGGTCAATTATTCTCACTGAATGTCAACGGAAACTATTTGTCGTTTGGAAGTCAGCCCTATGTTTTACGCTCGGCAACTTTCCCAATATCCTTATGGACATCCTTACCTCACAATTACTGTTGCAAAATGCCACAACATTCGAGTTGTTAGCTCGTTTAGCCTTATTCGCTTGGAGCTGGTAGATTGGGCAACATACAAGCGTCGTTTTGTCGTTGCGGCAAACCCCATTCTTCCACACTATGAGCATTTATCTTGAACACTAAGAATTTATAGCTTAGTGGTAGTACCACGATTTATAAAACGAAGTTCTTTAATCATTCATCAATAGCAATGCCTGAAATAATTTCATCCTTATACGCCTCAAAGCAGCAAAGTTATATGCCTAAAAAGCATTCGTATATTTATGTATTTTTAAAACTTCGCGTTACAACCTGAAAACCTATTTAGAAAACTGAGTAACCGCATATTATTACTATTGTAAAATACAAATACGCAACTATTGGTAATCTTTTGACGTCTAAATAAAGTAAAATGGTAAACAAATAATTTGCATAAAATAGTGAACAATGTGCGGATGGAAACATTTTATTTAAGTTAGAAAATAAACGTTGCATTGTAATGTTGTAAATATTCTAGCAAAAATGTGTCATGAATACATAAGAGAAATTAAATACGTCTCAAATCTTTTACATGGGTCGAATACAAATGAGACTACATAATTTATAGGAAGGTGTATGCTTTAATATTTCGTGTGTGATTCTTCGGTTCCTGCTCGCCTTCTTTTTGTTGTGCTGCAAGCGTTATGCAAGGCGTCTCGTATTGACACGGATGAATTTAAGGAAAATACTCGTAGTTACAAATGAGACTAGGCACAATTTATAGGAAGGTGTATGCTTTAATATTTCGTGTGTCATTCTTCGGATTCTGCTCGCCTCCTTTTTGTTATGCTGCAGGCGTTATGCAAGGCGTCTTGTATTGACACGGATGCATTTAAGGAAAATACTCGTAGTTACAAATGCGACTAGATACAATTTATAGGGAGGTGTATGCTTACTATTTTGTGTGTCATTCTTCGGATCCTGCTCGCCTCTTTTTTGTTATGCTGCAGGCGTTATGCAAGGCGTCTCGTATTGACACGGATGCATTTAAGGAAAATATGTAGTTTGCTCAACCATGCTGCTGCGCAAGATGAAGACTACTTTCGGGTGTCCCATTCACAATGCCTCAGAATGTCAGTTCGTAGTAGGTAGATTGTTTGTGAGATTGCAAGTTGTGTAACAGGAACTAATTCTTTCCTTGGCTTTGTTTGTTGTAAGAGCTTTGACCGCGGCTCTATTATTTTTCAAAGTTAATAATAGTGTTTCGTGTGTGTAATAATAATCCAGAGAAAAAGCCTTAAATCAGAGTAAAAGAAGTAAAAAGATGTTAACACACACGAGTACGTTCGTTAATACATACGATTACGTTTGTTTATACTATTTTGTAATAATTTCATAAAATACCTGTTTTGCTGTAGGTAACAAATAAATTGGATTTCTAAATCAAATTTAACTGCTTATATTTTGAAATAATCCTACTTATCTTGTAATCTTGTAAATTATGGGACGGATTTAGGAGTTAAAAATAATTACCTTAAAATACGATTCGTTAATTGTTAATACGTGTAATTTTAAGCAACGCCTATTACATTGTTTGAGTAATCCAAGAGCTGGTATAATAATTACTGTATAGTGGAGGTGATTAGGCTGATGCTATGCAATGAGTGCTGTGACAACTTCAAGCGTCCTCTCGCTAGGGGGAAGCCAGAGGAATCGAGGGTCAACTTTACGCAGCCACTTTCGCCGTCAGTTCCCGCGTGGAGTACACATGAGACACACGCCTTTATAATCCTTCAACACCAAAAACAAACAAAGTTATACATCTAGTTATTAAATAATAACATGAAAAATAATTTGTGATAACAGTTCTGTGATTTAACGAATATTTTATGAGAATAAGTTTAAGTATTTAGAAAAATATTTTAAATCGTGATAGAGACAATTAAGATTAACTTAAAAACATGGTTATTTGTGCAAAGTGGTTGATTTTGATTGGAATAACAGCGTTGCAGGTTTCCGGTGAGTTACTTCAGGATGTTATAGATATAATCAAACTTTTCATTTTAATTAAAAATTTCTGACGTTAAATTAATAAATAGTAAAAATAATAATTTAATAATTAAAGTTTTCGTTTTAAGTTACACGTGAACGTAAATATCAATCGTTCTAATTGTTGTAAATAATATTAATTGCTGTTAAACTTGAAACAAATATAATAGTTCCTACAAAGACATTGCTATTAATTTCGAGAAGGTAATTAACATGTTTTATTATCAATTTAAAGTTCCTGATAAGTTTATTTATGTCATGTACGTACGATAAAAGTAATTTTTGTCGCAAAACATTCTTCACCTTCATAAATCCACGACTTTAAGGAAATTCTTACTTAAAATTAATTATTTTATTTAACTCTGCAAAATGATTAAACAAACGAAGAAAGAAGTCACAAATCAGTAAGAAATAGGACAAATTCATCGCTTTTATAATTCGTTTAAGATGGGAATGTTTGTAAACAAAGTTCGTTTCCACAATATCCAACCGAATACCTTAGAAAAGGCTTTATTTGTTTTTACGAAAAGTGCAAATATTTACGCGGGAAGGATTTTTAAGAGGCACCAGAAATGTTTAATTTTATCGCATTAATCTGACTCTATGTACGAGTATGTAAATGATCTGTACTAAATTCCTTAAAGGATGTTCACTAGTTACAAATCATCCTGTATGTACTCGTATAGTCTAGATTTTTTTTGCAATATCGTATCTACCTATTACAACATTTACAACTACCATAAGATACCGTCGTGTGTTACATCTACTGTACCTCTAGCATGAACAACTTTCGTCTTCGAATCGTTTGCGTATTCGATAAAATTCGATACTCAATCTTCGAATTAAACGATAACGTGACAATTATTTTGATTCTCAAAATAAGTTTCTTGCAACCACATCTCATACTAAGTTTACTTTACGACACGTTCACGAGGGCGCTGTTGTAGTTTTCTTTTTAAATCTTTTGATGGCGATTCGAGTACGCAAACGATTTGAACTCGAAAGTTTTTTGTGCTAGCCGTACTGTTTTTAAATCTCAGTTGACCTACAACTTACACAAGCGCTTCTTCTTTGCTAAAATGGTAGTAAGTGCAGCGTGTGCAGTGAATCGCGCGTAACCTACAAATCGGCGTGTGGTTGCATAATCTTCATTCTGCAGCAGTCTAAAGTTACAACTTACCACTTTCCTCATCCGTATTAAGTGCTACGCGTTCCGCAAACTTTGTCTTATCAAATTTAATATGCGATCTCTGTTGTTTATCTCTGTTGATTACATAAACTGTAGTTTTAAATTATTATCGTAACGATTTATCTGACTGTAGTTACGGAACCAAAAACTTTTGTTATTTCCATTTCCTTCCAAAGTTTTAAAGATGACTGATTAGAAATAAATCGATTTAATAAATTAAATAAAAACAACAGTTTTGGTACTTAAATGCTTAATAAGTAGATTCGAGCATCATTATCTTCTCTTCTAATATTTAATTTTGGACTAATATTTTCGATGTATTTTTTAAATAATACCTATTCTCCAGAAACTAAAGCTTGTTGATAAATTTTTGTGTTGTATAAATTTAAAGGTACTGATTTAGTATCACTAACCTCATTTCTCATTACTGTCACAGCCTACGTAACGACAGGTCTTGTTATTTATTAATTAACTGTACTCGTACCAGAAACTCGCACATCAAGTTCCACAATTCTTGCACCGCGCTACACGGCTGCGCGCACGCACTTCCGAGCGCAGATCGGCGCCGCCTACATTCTTGTTGCGCAACCCGTTGTCACTGTGAATTACATTATCATGCACGAATTATGACCAACTTTTGGCGAAATGCCCTATTTTCGTGACTTGTTATGGAGTTGTTTTTTGTTTATTTTACGCATATGTGCGAATCCGTTTAACACATTCGTCTTTATACATATGACCCTACCATGCTGAAATTAAGTTAAGTAAAACAGTGTAAAACAATGTGATGAATTTGAAAAAATTAAAACGTTCCTTACTATTTTAGGGAAAATTATATTTGGTAACTTCAAAATAGTTCTCCAACAATTTTATTTTCAAAATCCAACTGAGTCAAAAGACAAAAAGAACGAACAACACGTGGAAAAAAACCATAACCATTTCTGGCGCAGTCGGGTGAAAATCATCAAATACCTACCATTACTAAAGCAACAATACCTACCTCTATATTAGTTATATCGGTACTACAATCAAGCAAAATAGTGACAATAACAGTGTTTCGTTATTGCAACCTAACTCTATATTGGTTGGTTTTAGCATTGCATAATCATCTGTATCTTGTTCTCACAGTTACTATATCCGAGACAACACAAACAAGCATCTAGAATATTCGACAGTTGACCTGAACAAACTTTTGACCTGGAGCAACTTTTGGAGATGACTTATTATCCTTGCCATGATGCAGTTAACACGTTTAAAACGCGAGTAAAATTATTTAAGTAATGCCATTTAATAAAGCGTGTCATACAACTAGATTAACATAAATTCTTCCACCAAAAGTACTACAAATTACCTATTTTAAGTAATAACAGCTATGAGATAGTAACTGGTTAGATAAATTGATGCAGTAGGTATTACCGGTAGCGCAAGTATCTTGATGCAATATTAAACATACCAATTATCAAAAACGCGTTTACCTATTAATTTACTAAGTAATCCATAAATAAATGTAGATTACTGGAAATGTTATACAGTAAATAGGTAGCAACTGCTTATAAGAATTGCGAAACAATTTGGGAATCATATATCGTGTGTCAAGTAGTATGATTATTTATCACCTTTTAATTTTCAAGGATTTTGTCGATGGTGAAACCTGACCTTTAAGTCATCCGGATGGATGTAGATGTCCCAACATCCAATACGACGTAATTGTGCATCAGATATGTAATGAAAGTAATAGTCATCGCATAGAATTATTGCATTAGCACGCGTCCAAGCGAGGAGCCTTCTTGCAATATGTTAAACGATACCCGGAACAAAACCATTAGCGTCCGATTTCACATATCCCTAACTTTTGCAGTAAAGATAGAAACGAAGAATGATGTCTATGAAGGTATTTTGAAGAATACTTCTAAGTCAAAATCAAGATTGGTGAAGAAATGGCGAGGAATCTAAACATACATCTGGAAAACCACGCATCTAGACAATGGCAAATAATGATTATGACAGTGGATTTAAACGTTACATTTAAAACGATGATTATTGTGTCTTTTGTTGAAGAAAAATATTTGATTGTGACAATTAGTTTTCTCTCTAGCCTTTGTCCCGAGGAATATTTTTCTAACAATAGTTTCTTACTTAGTTCATATCTATAAAATATAACATTAGCTACTTACTTAGTTCATATCTACAAATAGTTCATACAGCATGCCCAGAAACATGTCTCACACAGCTCACACTACAAACTACGGTGAAGGAGTGCAGCTCTACGTCTTGTCCCATTCAAAATTCACCTTTAAAAGTCATTCACGCAAAGTAAACTGATCGTAAACGATGCCATAATTATTGTTACATCGTCTCGGAAAAGCATAAAAGTGAATCTGTGCCGAACAGTGAAAGTATGACCCGTGAACCGATCCATTTGTATGCAGCTCGAAGGCCAGGGCAGCCTTGTGAACCCGCCTCTACTCAAAGCGTGCTTCATTACTTAATCACACTGTTTTGTTCGATGCATTATAAGACGATAATGGCATAGGTTTTATGTCACTGCGCAACGGTGAGAAATCGCGAACGCAATACAACACCATCAGTTTGTATCTAAGCTGTAGTCAGAACATAACATTAAGCAAAGTGTACTAACTTTACGACTAAAGCCTCTATGTAGTGAGTAATTAAGTAGTGTTAATGTACACATTATTACTAATGCAGATTGCATGAATACCATAAACCACATTACACTAATCTGAAATCAGATCTCGCTCCAGGTCTTGCCGATTTTCTTCGCCTCGTCTGCTATAGTGCGCGACCACGAACTTCGAATACAAATAGGCATTATATTTTTTACAAACTATTCAATTTTAATTACCGATTTGAAATAATATGTCATCAAATATAATTTTCTGTTTTTATGTTGATTGCTAACTTGATTAGATCCAACTGGATTAGATTAGTTAGATACTAAACATACAGTTATATTGACGAACACAAAAAAAAACATTTTTAAAGTCTGAATGTTTATAAACAATGCTTTGCAACTCTTTTGACTAGACAGTCAAAAAGCAACAAAGCAAAGTTGTAGTCTTACAAGAAATTAATACATTTTATACAAAAACACGAGCACAGGTATTACGAATATATGTATTGTTTTATAGGTATTACGAAAGAAACTAAAACATGCGAGGTCGCTATTTATAAAATGGAAATATTATTTAATTGTTGCTATTTCAACACAAGTCGTTCGATAACTTAATGAAGTACCTACGAGTCGATGTTTACCTTCGCACCTGCTTATTATTTCTAGGACAAACTTTTAGAATAAGTACGATTAGCTACTTAAAATAATTATTTCAAATGAAATTCAAAATAAAGTCATATATTATTTTTTCTACACATTATTTTAATATGAATCAAATGAAACGGAGGATGAAAATTACGAAGGATGGGGAAACCATGACGTAGAACTAAATGAGATATTCAAACGTATAGAAACATACTAAAACATAGTACGTTTAGTAGAGAAGTTTTAAAGAGCGTATCATAGTCATAAGATAAGACGTGCAATTGAATTAAGCATTTGTGTAACAGTCCGGTATACAAGCACTTGACGCCAGTTAATAGGTAAAGAATCTATATTTTTATCTATTGGATAGACACTAAAGAAAGTCATAATGATTTAACGCATCCTTGACAGGCCTGACAGCTGACATTCTGAGAGGTGAACCACATTACACACAATGACTAAACCTAGCGGTTCACGGTCTGTTAACCACAAACAATTGTTAACCAATTAACTTATTACGAATTCCGGCGTGCATGATGAAAACATTATAATCTTTGTCATGAAACGCAAGCATAATTCACTGACTACAGTTGCAAATTAAAAAGATTCTTGATAAAAAAGACAAAATCATATTTAAAGTCGGAAACAATACTTAGTTTATTAGATAATAGTAACTGACTTCTAGAGTTGTGCAGGTGGATAGTATAGGTACATTTCTTAAGATTGTATTTGAACAATTTCTTTATTTAACAATAAACTTAGTTATTAAAAATCAACATTATCATCATTTAAAACTCACTTTAAAAAGTAAAAATAATTTTTCTCAACATTGGTTTAAGTAAAAAATTCTTTATTTCTGGCCAAACATTTTTCAAACAATTTTTGACCTGGACGATCATCTTTGAAATTATTTTTAAACTCTCCGTCTCGAGTCAATTCTTGCGTTTTACTGGAAATCCACATTTAGAAATGTTAAGAAGCCATTCAACTACTTTTGTATTATTGTTCCATTTTCTTCCCTAAACTTTGAATTTTTGACGAATTTCAATATCTAATTACTACATGACGTGACATAACATTGGAAAGAAGAGAAGCTAGAGATGTTTTTAAGATCATTGGCAATCCACTATCACCTTTAATTTTTTTTAAATCGAATTCCAAGTTGAAATTTTTATCGTGGTTTGTACCTTTGTTAAACTTTCGCGGCTCGTAACTAGCTATCCAATCATTATCTGGATCTGAAATTGAATTTATTTGACTAAAGACATATTCTGTATTAATATCAAATAACAAAAACGGTTAAAAACACGCGAGAAAAAAAATTTAGGTCAAATTTTGGAAAAAATTAAACAAAAACAAAAATATCAATTAAAATAAAAGTAGCTCACTTAGGGTCAGATGGGCGAACTTGTATTCTTAAAATGACCCCTCCTATACACATTAATATTAAACAGTATGTTTTAAATTTTTTTATAAGCAAGTATTTAACGAAAACAGTGGACGCAATTTGGTTTATTATTATAGAGGATAGGTATAGTTTGCGTCCATTGTGGACGCAAAGTGGAAGTTTTGTAAAATCGATGTAGTAATTCGCGTCCACCTTATTTTATTCGTTAAATATAAAAAACAATACCAAATTCATAATAAACATTATACCTTTTTTCATCATTAAACTGTAGAAATAGATATCTATCCTNATTGGGGGTCTTATCAACTACTCTCTTGTCCAGCCAGTATCTGGATGTTACTGCAGACCAAACACTTCATGGAGAAGCAAATATTCACTGCACTTCATGGAGAAGTACCTAATTATTCACTAAAAATGATCTTAATCCAATTTGTAATATTTGACCTGGAAAACAGGCGTTATCATAGGGTCATTTCGCCTGTTCGCGTCCATTTAGTGCAGTTGGCAAGTTTGACGGCGATAATAAAAATGCCCCAGCACTCATTTCTATGACAAATTTGTGTAATGTATTCATTATATATTCTATTTTAAGATTAACTTTCAGTTGTATTAGAAACATCTTGCGTTTTCTTTTAAAATAGATAAACTTCAGAATTAGGCGTTATACCCAGTTTGCGTCCACAAAGTCCAAATTGCGTCCACCCGTGGACCATTTAGCGTCCAGCAGCTTAGAAAAGGAATATAGGGGTGATATTTTTAAGAATTATTAAAGAAAGATTGTATTTGAACAATTTCATAATTCATAATTCATAATTCATAATACTTTATTGCTTCATTTGGTGAGAAGGTTTCTTTATTAAACAATAAACTTAATTATTAAAAATCAACATTATCATCATTTAAAACTCACTTTAAAAAATAAAAATAATTCTTCTCAACATCGGTTTAAGTAAAAAATTCTTTATTTCAGGCCAAACATTGTTTGACCTGGTCGATCATCTTTGAAATTATTTTTAAACTCTCCGTCTCGAATTATTTTTTGAACAGTACCCAACAATTCTTGCTTTTTACTGGAAATCCACATTTAGAAATGATTCAGAAGCCATTCAACTACTTTTGTATTATTGTTCCATTTTCTTCCCTAAACTTTGAATTTTTGACGAATTTAAATATCTAATTACTACATGACGTGACATATCATTGGAAAGAAGAGAAGCTAGAGATGTTTTTAAGATCATTGGCAATCCACAATCACCTTTAATTTTTTTTAAATCGAATTTCAAGTTGAAATTTTTATCGTGGTTTGTGCCTTTGTTAAACTTTCGCGGTTCGCGGCTCGTAACTAGCTATCCAATCTTTATCTGGATCTGAAATTGATTGAATTATTTGACTAAAGACATATTCGATATTAATATCAAATAACAAAAGCGGTTAAAAACACGCGAGAAAAAAAAATTAGGCAGTTTTTAGGTCAAATTTTGGAAAAAATTAAACAAAAACAAACATATCAATTTAAATAAAAGTAGCTCACTTAGGGTCAGTTGGGCTTGTATTCTTAAAATGACCTTACTTAAACACATTAATATTAAACAGTATGTTTAAATTTTTTTTNGGAAACATTATTCAATGAAAATATTGTCCGAACCCTTAGTGTTTCTCTTCGACAAATACTTTAACACATTATGAACCACTTTTCTTTCACGACTATAAAAATATTTTAGCAATTTAATTCATAAAACCAATTGCGCACATTTAAAATAAAGTTTGTTTACACTTTGACAGCAATAGACTGACATGCAAGGTGACATATCAATGAAGTTTTCAGTTACTGTTGCCATTAAAAGAAATTAGTACCATTAGTTTTCCGCAACATGGCGAGGGTTTTTATGTTCCTGGTCAGGCTATATATTAGTTTTCATTAATATAAATCTTGCTTTTTCAATACTTTCATAAAATTATAACATTGATTGAACAATGCTCGTGGTAATATCAGTAGGATACTAAACAAGATTCCTTACAATTGATTATTATGAGAAACCACATGACTATAAATGTTTATAATTCCAGATTCAAATTGTCAACGAAACCAGGAGAAGAAGGAAAAGAAACCACAATCAGTACGAGACTTGCTCAACACAACGTCATGCATCCCGCCTCCATACCGGTGTCCGCATCCGAAAATGCATTTTTATTTGTACACAAGGTAAGAAGCATACACCCTTAAGCAAGCTAACAGTTCCATTTCTATCGCAGCGCAAACTCACGTGAATCAACTTTTAANACTATTCCCAATAAAAATCTTAGCCTTTAATTTTACTGTTTAGTACCTCAAAAATGAAAAATGAAAACCTCATTTTCGCCATTTTCTCTGCTACCCGGCCTTTTGCTTTTTCAATACTTTCATAAAATTATAACATTGATTGAACATGAACAATGCTCGTGGTAATATCAGTAGGATACTAAACAAGATTCCTTACAATTGAGAAACTACATGACTATAAATGTTTATAATTCCAGATTCAAATTGTCAACGAAACCAGGAGAAGAAGGAAAAGAAACCACAATCAGTACGAGACTTGCTCAACACAACGTCATGCATCCCGCCTCCATACCGGTGTCCGCATCCGAAAATGCATTTTTATTTATACACAAGGTAGATACTGAACTTATTACTTCATAACGTACCTTCTTAAACAATTTTGTGTTCCTACTTAAGTGCTTTCTTGTTTTCTTTTCTAACAAAAACACCGGTACAAAAATGACAGAAGCGAAGCGAAATTATTTTATTAATTTAACAGCAGCATAAAGCAAGCTATAAGACTATCATCTCCATTGCAGCATAAAGCAAGCTATAAGACTATCATCTCCATTACAGCGCAAACAAATCAACATCAATTTCTCACATGAACCAACTTCTTTAANTTTTAATTTTTCAGAAAAACGCAAGAAAAAGGCGAGCTCCTGAACACGCTCGACAACGATTCCCTCACGTATTCGAAGTTCAACCCCATTCATCCGACCAAGATAGTGGTGCACGGCTTCGGCGGCGGTCGGAACCTGTCTCCAAGCACTGACATGAGGAACGCTTACTTCACCAGAGGCAACTACAACATCATCATTGTGGACTACGGGTCGCTCGTCAAGGAGCCGTGTCTTAGTCAGGTAAGTAAGATAAAAATAATTCTAGACTTATTATTAAAAATAACCTCTGAACATATATTGGTTGGGAAGCGTCATGTTTCAAATACAAGAGAATAGGATCTCAATATTGTTTACCCTGATGATATTTCTCAGAAAAATCAACCAAATAAAATACCAATTGATCTCAACATTGTATTGTAAAATTTTTCAATCTTTCTTGCGTAACTTATGTTCCATTTAAACTCGTAATTATGTCAGCATAATTATGTAATTTTTTCTCATATCATCAAAAATGCCAGCTATTCTATGAAGCCAAATATTGCTCAATTTGCTCAATGAAGAGCACGTGTTCAAATCTACGCACGCATTACTCGTTATCTCAGATGACATAATTTTAGCAGTGAAAGTGCAGTCATCACCAACGGTTCACTGGGCCTAATGATTTGTCGCATAACCAACCTTTTGGAGAGTTCCAATGGAAATCTAGCGAGCCGAAACTTATTGTTATAACTTGATATGCATCGAATGAATATCTTACGCAAGAAACATTTCTCTGCCAACAAAATAGACATAATTTATGGAGATTGGCCCAATACAAAACCATATCATTTTTTATGCCATTTTTAAGAAGTCATAAAACTTTTTTATGTTGTTGTTTACATTCGTTTAATGTGGCACGTAATTTAAATAATGTCATTTATTCAAATTGATACTGTATACCTATAATTATGTGTACTTACTGGTGATTTCTGACAACTTCACCTACGTAATAAATCATCATTTATTATATAATATTATCGTATGATTTATGGTTTCGTAATTAATAGTTTCAGAGCACGTAATGTATGCGCGAGCAAGACATCCTTAACTTTTGCATAATTTAAATTCTCTTTTATTGCACTTTTATTCGAAAATTTTGTGCCGCTATCCACATTTTTTATAAAGGGGCCTTTTCGCATTTTTCTTGTGATAATACCCTTTATACGTGAAATCATCACAAGAAAAAGGTTTTGTAAAATTGCACTAATGGCAACTCTGCCAACTCTTTGGTGACCGCATTATACTTAAGTACCTACAATAATGTTGTGAGGAATAGAATAGTTGATATTCTAAGATCTTAGAGTAAAAGCAAAAAAGGAATGTTACACCTTAAATATCAGAGGGCCTAGTGTGAGTTTACATAAAAATGACATTAAATGTACACTAGTGAGCGCGTTTAATGTAAACTCACACTCAGCCCACAGAAGAGGTNAGAAGAGGCCTATCTTTTAGCTTAAGTTTTAATGATCTCAAATCCTCAAAGTTAAAAATTAATAATTTCAGATAGAATGGGCTCCGCGTTTTGCTGGGATGTGCATAGCGCAGCTGGTCGACTACCTGCACTTCCATCCAGTGAAGCCAGTCGCCCCAGAGCACCTGCACACAATCGGGTACAGTGTGGGTGCTCATATCCTGGGACTAGTAGCCAACTACGTTACTGATGGGAAGCTGGGAAGAATTACCGGTAAGTTTTTTTTAACTGTGTGCGAAAATTGTTTGTCTCCCAAACTTTGAACCTTGGGTTACTGTTTGTATGTGACCCGGTGACAACCTTGCATAATGTTAAGGCCTGCATATGCTAATTTGGAATTTTAAACATCGCACGTCATGCAATTTTCACATACCTAAACACACATTTGTTTTTATTTTAAAATGTTGACATACGCTTTTTCTACTATGGTGAAGGTGGTTTTGGTGGTTCAAAGGAAGTACGTAGATGCGAGTAGCTCAGGATTCGTTATGGAAATCCTTGAGGGAGGCATTTGTCCAGCAGTAGACCGAACCTTATTTAGCTAAAACGATGATGAATGATGATTTATACTTATTATTTTGTGTTTCTACATTTTCGGCCTGCGGTCAGGTCAAAGTAATCATACATGATGCGGGCCACGTTCCCTCTGACATGACTTAAGACCGCACCCAGTGTGATCCTTAAAGATTTAATAAGTCCTCTTTCGTGATGCGACAATTATTTAATTAATAATGTATTCTAATTGCTTACGTCATTACAGGGCTAGACCCAACGATATTGTTCTACATGGGCAACAACCGATCCCGAGACCTGGACTACACAGACGCGTTGTTTGTGGACATCCTCCACACGGGGGCCGGGATCCTAGGCCAGTGGGGGCCAAACGGCCACGCTGACTTCTACGTCAACGGGGGGTCCAGCCAGCCTGGATGCGCGCACGACACTATCTTTCGTAAGTCATTTGGTATTCAAATTTTAAATTAATATTCGTTCTGTATAATCCTCCTTATAATGTTTGGCCTACTCCACTCCAGTAAGTGTAAGTGGCGAAAGGAATTCAGTCCCCTTTATCACACATTCCTTGCTTTGAAAAGAAAAATGTTTCATGTTGCTTGTTAATATTTTGGACAGATTCGTTATTTACATTTGAAATGGCAATATTATTTATCCATGAAATTAGCTATTGTGGGCTACAAAGGCACATTTAGAAAATGTTATTCAAAAAAGTAACTGCTTCAAATGAAACAGCCTTACGCTTGCTGGACATTGCAATCATAAAACGTGAAATTAGCAATGTTCATATATTGATATCAAAATGCTACAATCATATCGCTGCTTATTGCTCACAGTACTTTATTTAATAATCAGACCGTATTTAGCTCCAGTTTCCTTTACTTAACTAACAAAATGCTTTTCAATTTCCAGAAACATTATCGTGTGACCACACCAAAGTGACGCCATACTTCATAGAGTCGATCAACAGCCGCGAGGGGTTCTGGGCAGGACCCTGTTCCAGTCTGTTCTCATACCTCATTGGCTGGTGCGAGCCCAAAGACTCGGAGTACGTGCTGATGGGAGAGCATCTTACGCACAAGTGAGCAAATACGACTTAAAAAAACTTAACAATCGGTTTTACTTTCTTCATAAAGTGATTTTATGCTCTTATCTAAAAATGTGCCACTAGGAGTCAAAAGCAGATTCATAGTTCAGAGTATCCAACTCATAGTGTTACTTTAAAAGTTTCCTTTCCTACTGAATCATGAAGTTGCTTAAATACTCGGTTTCGTAGTTCAATCAGTTTTTAGTACAAAGTAAACCAGAGACAGATTTAATCCCCACACAGTAAAAGCGTTTGAGAGCATGAACATATCTGTTTGGTTTGGTCTGGGTGTTTTATGTAAAGTGAGTACGTCTAAAAAATAAAAAAGTATGTTTATATTTTTATGTCTGTTATCTTGTGCGCATAGAGCCAGCTTTCTTTGGTTTGGGACAGATGGCTGAGTCAAATTTAAGAATATTTTACTTAGATACCTATATTGTTTTTATTGCAGGGCTCGTGGTGTCTACTACGTGACCACCAACGCCAAACCTCCATATGCCAGAGGGTTCCCCGGGAAGACTAGACGCCTTAGATCTGTTTCACCATACAGCTGATAACGATTTATAATTTACATATTACCATACCATATGAAATAGGTACAACTGAAAAACCTCATAACAACTATTAAAGTAAGAGAGAATACAAGACAAAATATTAGTTGAGAAACTATAAAATATAGGAAACATGTGATGATCATTTAAAAAATTAGTAGTAGTTTTGGATTTTCAATTATTTTTCAAAGACATAATTATTAAGTAGCTAGCTATGTCTCTCATTATTACCATATTATGTTTAAAGTACCAAATACACACACATACACTTGCTGTTTGTGTGATGCAATATCAATGTTACCATTCCTAAAAATACTGTTAATATTAAGTTAAAGCTTTAAATTATAAAATTAATGCAGGATACATTAATGTGTACTCTACCTTTATTTATTTTATGTAAAATGGCTTGATCGATGACAAAATATGAATGATTTACAACAAATGATGTAATTATATTCTTATGCCGTTGTGTCATCGTATTGAAAAATTTAATACATGGGTGTTAATTTATTTTAGAGTAGAGTTTGTGATATTAATTATTTTGTGTTGGTAAATTGAAATTGTGAATGGTCATAGTTTAAGTTTTTAAAATATATAGGATTACCTAAACTACTGTATTTGAATTCCCCTTAAATTTTATTCCCTAATGATGTGACTTTTTTTTTCCAAAGCGAGATACATAATATGTTATAAAATGTGAAATTTATTTTAACAATGGATATCGGTTTTGTAAAATAAAAAAAACGTTTAAAGTTCAAACATACATATATTATGGGAAGTTAATGTTAGCATTCCAAAAAGACCAAAGTTGATGTTGATTCATCACGACTAACAGATGAATTTTACGATTGGTCACCAAGAAATAAATAAATTACTAGTTTATAATATCGTACATTAACAATAAGTACATATTTGTACATTATACTATAAAAACATTAAAAATAATCAACGACTAATAAGAATAACAATAAAAAAAACAATAAGCAATCAACTATTAACAAAAATTTTAGTAAATATTTAAAAATAATGACTAAAACGAATTTATTTATTAATTTGTCTATTAATATAAAATCACAACAACTTAGAACATCCTTCAAAAGTAGTTATTTAGAGTTTCAGTGACAATAAAACAACACTACATTTCCCCATCCTATTATAACTACATATTCGCTTAATATTAAAATATTATTTACACATATTAAACTAAACAAAAGAATCGAGTATTATAATACATACTCGTACATATTTCAAAAAAACCTTGTTTTATATCGTTCAGAATTTGTGAGCTAAAACAGTAATTCAGATATAATATTAAGTATCCAAATAAAAATGTGTTTTATTTTACTTAGTATAATATTCCGATAATTTTAGTATGTGTGTTATTTTTATTTTTTTTAACTATTTACAACTATTTTATCATAGGCCTGATTGAAACCCAGTGCAATTATAATTTACGTATTTTTATAAATGTTAAGGTGCTTAATTATTTACAACAATTAATTAAATGTTAGGTGATAACAGTAACCGGCCTAGGAAACAAAAAATATTATATACCTAATAAAGGGAGATTTAAATGAAATATAAAAGATCAGAGAGAAAGCAAATAAAACTATCATTTGCAAAATTGTGTTTTTTCTAAACAATTGTAAAAAAGCCATAGGCGCCGATTCAGAACTAACATTCTATTACTAAAGAACTCTACACCGTTAATTTTCAAAATTTAGGTGGGTCGCTAAATGTAACATAATAAGGGCTATTTTTGGGACGTCACTATTATTTCTCAATATCTATTGCCTATGATGATTCGTGAAGTGAAATGATAAACAGGTATAAGCGACACAAATTATTTACAGCAGTAGCAACGTCAGGACTTCAAAGAAAATCCTTAAGTATGAGTCTAATCAATAATTGACAAATCAGTGCTCTTTTGGCAAGTAAATAACGGATTATAGGGCTCCACATTTATGTATCGTAAATTTAGATATAATATAGATATTAAATAGTTTTTTATTGTACGCCACCTAAAATATAGAAAGGATTAATTATGAAGTTAATAACTATTAATACATATCTAGAAGTTATTGAAAAAAATATATGTTTGTATCTTCGACCTTATTGCATTTATTTATGTAGGATTTATTTAGCAACCTAGTGATGTCACTGTATAAAGTTTATTTCATAATTAAAACCACAAATATGAAGCCTTATAACTCGTGAATACTAATCCTATATTTATTATAATGTAAACATTAGTGAAATCGATTATACACTTGTATTATTTTTATTTCTAGTGCCTTATTTGATATCATATCTATAAATATTTACAAATTACAAGAAAGCTCTACCATAACAGGCATAAAAAGTAACTGGAACAAACAAATTAATGAAAAATATAGACTTTAATCGATTTTTATGATTTTAATAATAGGTAGTACTTGCAAATTATTCAAATATCTAATAAGCTAATAAAAAGACAAAACGGAACCCATAAACATATTGTTGACTTGTGTAATTAAGTATTACTATTTTATATTTTAAAACAAACACAATCAATATTACTTTAGAATAAATAAGGCAAAACCTACGATCCTAGTATACTAGACCTAGACCTTAGTATAGTTATTTTATCGATTATCTTTACATCTACAGTTCGCTTTGTGAAGCTTTATTGTCAACACAGCCTTATAGAGTGAGATCACCCCATTGTAAGTAAAATTATTGTCATATCTCTATGATCCCTATGAACTAGTTATTATTATCATAATCACTTACTTAAGTAACCTATCATTATAATAATATTAAGTAAAATTATTTTTTTATCTGCCATGACGATTAAACTTAAAACTTTATTCTCGAAGCGTTGAATCAAAATAACGTAAATGAATACGTACACGGTCTAGAAATCAGTTTAAATTGTTTTTTATTCCAATGAGAAAATATTATTTCCTGTTTCATCAACTGTAAATCAAAAAAGCAGAATTTTGGTAGAGACGCAAAAGGCGTTAACTATTTTAAGGAACGTTTTGCAACAAATAAAACTCCAAAAGTATCTTTAAGATAATAATATCTAAATAAAATAAATCGAGTACTTATTATTATGTTTATTCCTAGTAACTTGATACTTATTACTAAATTCTAGCTAAAAATAGGTTTACGTTACTCTACGTTTCGCAATCGGTGCGCGTCAACAAGTGTTTGGGGGATCGGTACCCTTTACGCCATCGTTTTGGACATCGTGAAAATTATCATTGAGAAAACAAATTACGACTAAAACCTTCTATGCGCATATTATTAGCAAAAAAACGTCAATGGCGAGCTTTTATTGGCGAAAAGACCATCATTCAAAAAACAGATTAATGTGACTATGACGTGTTTAAAAACTTTTTCTATGATAGTCCATCTTTTAAAATCAGTTGTTAACTAACCTTACTAGGGTTTGACTACTATTATATTGGCATGTCTAATTTATTTTACCACGTTCTCCTGTGTCGTTAGTTGTTGTCATTTCATTGCACTATACGAACATACACTATAGCACGTTACAACTTTTTTCCTCGAATCTCACGTTTCTACAGATCTTCATGGAAACCTAAAAACTTAACAACTTCCGTGTGTGACAGTTTGAGAAAGAAGATCTTATTATCAGTACTATTTAGATTTTTATGTAAAACCTATAATAGAAATAAACTACTAATTTTTACATGCACAATTCCCGGCGATTTTACCACAATATCATTTAATAAAACACGTAAACAATAAACATTTTTACCTAGCCTGAAAGCAAACCTTTCATAACATTATATTGCAACAATATAAATGAATTAAGTAACATTTTAAACATTTATTTTGAATTATTTGTGATTTGTATAAATCTGCATTATGCTGTAAATGAAATATTGACTTTAATCATTAATAAAAAGAATAAAAAATCATCTTTTTTACATATTTGGTGCGTCCATTTAAAAATAATGATACCATAATTTATAGCAATTTACTACGTTTCCTTACGTAAATATTTTTAAAATGTTTTTATTTCTATAAAAATAATGTGATTTTATTATTCGTAATTAGATAATAACTACACATTCAAGTAATATTTCTCATCGTTATTCAAAATATATTACAGCACAGAATTGACGGCGTAGAGACTCTTTAAAACAACACTTGTTTTACATTCTAGTTATTCTATAATTCTAACAATTTTAGAAATAGGTTACAATGAAAATGATCCCTGATAAAAGGACGTCACCAAACTCCACAAACAAATTCATAATTATAACATTATGTAATTCATTTTTAATAAGTATCACGAAAGTATTAAATTAACAACAATAATTACCTCATAATATTACCAGTCAAATAATAATTGTAAATATTTAATTTCATGACATAATCAAATCAAAACAAATTGAATTATTTTACTGTTTTTTGTGGCTCTGTGATGCAGAGCAAATCAACATTATTACAGACGAATAAATCTAGCATTGGATAAAGCTTATTATATCAATGATATTATAGGTTATGATAATTCCCACCCATGTCCAACAAGTTCTTGATATAAGTATTAACTCTAATGAAATCTATTTTCAGTAATTAGTAAATTATTATCATTTGCACGGCTATCGCCATCTTACAGCTAAGCTACCGTTTTTATTGTCCAGTTGAGTTCAACGACTATTTAGAGGACAGCAGTTACCAAACATGGAATCGCAATATTTCTACTAAAGACCTTTAGAAGCACTGTCTCTCCTATTCATAGTGAAATATTTCAAAATCTAAAACTTCATTTCATCATTTGGTTATATCGAGCATTCAGAATGTTACTTGTTGCTGGTTTCATTAAAAAATATTAATATTAAAGTGTTTTCTTACGACTAAAAGGTTTCTACTGGCTTGAAATTTAAGTTTAACAGACCTTAGTTATTCAGGTGTGGAACTTGGTGTGTCAATAGCCAATTATTTCGTATTTTTTCTGCCAAAGTGATTTATTTAGTATTTATTTTAAACATGTCTTACCATAGACATACATACAATATTGTACCTACTGATATTGTAGGTAGAGAACTTTCACTAAGTCTTGATTTTCAATCTGCTTTTTTAAACTGTAGAAATTTAAACGATATTCTTTGTTCTGTTACTGTCCTCTATTATTTAGTCTCTAACACTAAACATTTCGCCTATATTTTCCTTATTTGATACGTTATTATACTTTTACAATTAATTTCAATAAACCTATCGGCACTCGAAAGCTACTTAATTATTATCGATTTTATCACCGATTTCATCGAGTTACTTATTATGTATTTCCGATTAAATGCTTTGGAAACTAAGAGCCTAACTATTTATAAATACCCCCACCCGATGACAGGGCTTTAAGGCAAATGTTTTATTTATTTGAAAAAGTATGTATAAATAAAACAAATTCGTGTTTTTACACGTTTGCCTGCGTATTTTCTGAAAAAAGCACATCATAGTGGGTCCATGCTGGCTCAAACTGGACCAATTGTATTTCAATTAGTACTACTTATTAAGTGTCATTTTGCGTTTATTTGAATTATTATAATCAAAAGAGAATCATGTTTATTGTCACATTTAATTTTATTGTCATTTACGTAAATGAATTTTACGATGTGCAATTTTTTAACGAGTGAAGTGGTCGAATTCAGTATCTAATTATTGTCTTTACATAAGTTATTAGTTTTTTTTATAATTTTGAAAACATTCGCAAGTTATGAGTGCATATTAACGAGTGAATTTCGTATATTTATTTGGTCTCATATTCTCCGTTATTGTCGTTGTTGGTTGAGAATCTTAAATCTCTTCACCTAATTTTCATATTAGCCTCAATAAAAGCAAAAAGATCTAGCACTTTCATAATTATTGTCGTTTTTAATTTATTATACTGGTCGAATTACCTCAAAATCTCAATCGAATTATTATTACTCGTGCTTTACTACCTTGTGCATTGTGCCTTATAACCCATATGAGTGTCAAAGTGTGGTGCAGTAATTACCTATATTATTTACAACAATCTACAAAAAACTATTGCTACTAAATTTTTAACTGGGTAAAATTAATAAGGTGCAAGTGGGAGAGTGCAAAGGGTAAATAAGCGTACTAGTGTCCATGCAATATTTAATAAATATATTTAAATATGCATCTACAAGTAACGAGATATTTATAAGTAGGTAGGTACATATCTACTCATGCATAATAGATTACATTTATTTACATAACAATATGAGTATCACATACTTTTGCGGCTTATATTAGGTACCTTAGTCAAACTAGTAAATCATATTCATACCGGCCTGCAAAAGAAAGTATCACACTTGGTTGAAAAATTAAGTTACTCTTTTATACTTCTTAATACATAAAATTTAGTAAATCAATGTACCTTAGTCAAACGTCTTATAGAAATCATAACAATGTTCAGTTTGAGCAAATAATGCTACCTAAACTCATTTTTAATTTATCTGTAGTAAGTAATTTGCAAATTATTTGGTAAAATATCAGAATCAATTTTTTTTAAAGTATTTTTTACAATTCAAATACATATTTTGTAGGTATATTTACTAATGTATCTTAAATATTCCTTTAATACAAGCATATACAACGCATCTACTCGTACATTACACAATAGATAGGGAAATGTATGTAGTTTAATAGTAAATTAAAGTTGTATTGATTGTTAGTATTTCATCGTGAATTTTAAATTTTAACTATGAATAAAATAACAACACAATAACAATAAATTGAACCTATATAATGATAACATTACTTCCCTCCACAGTTAACATTTTCGTTCTACACCTATTATAGGTAGATATTAAGTACATTTATATTTTCCAAATGGGTACAATACTAAATTTTGAACAATTACTTAAATATTTATAAACAGTTTACAACAATTTTATGAAACTTAGCTACGAGTAATGAAAATGTTCAGTTGTGCAAATTCTAATCAAACATACTCAACTAACTATTCATTGTTTAGCACGCGTTTTGAAACCTTTAAATAGTTGATTTGCTTCTTTGTGAACATCGGAAAATAATATTTATAACTATAATATATTCTGATAGACAGTCGTGGTATGCACTTTTTTGTACTGAACTCTGAGATTATATCCAAGAAATAGACGCTATACAACGTAGTAACTGACTGACACTTAAAGCGTTGATATTTGATATGCAAATATAACTTATTTACAACTGTACAAAGATTATGCGTAAATAAATATTTAAAAATATGAGATTCAATTTAAATAACAAGTCTAATAGTAAATGACTATCATCTTTGAGCAATAATAACGAAATTCAATAGCTGATATTAAAATAATTTGGAAACAGGTACACATAGTCATATGTAGATACAGGTACACTATGTCGCAGGCGACGGATGCTAGAAACAACATGATATTTCGTACAAGCTATTGAATCAAAACAGTAATAAATGTATTTTTTTCTACCTATCTATAAAAATATAAGGAAATCCATACCGGACCAGGATTACTTAAGAAATACCTGAAACAAAGTTAGATCCAAATTATTATTGTCGGACTGGCATTGAAAGAAAGGAATGGGGCAGTCTTAAAGAATCATACGTTTTTTTGCTCTTTCATTTCTCACTTTACTTACAGGTGCGTAGCTAACACGGACCCGGCTGTCACCAGAAAGCTTGTGAGCTCATGTTATAATGTAGAGAGCACTTATGTCGGTAAGTGCCATCAGACTGTAAGGGTTTAGCCTCATGGAGCCCATGGCTTATAATTTAGATTTTTTATCTACGAGTACTAAGCAACTCACCTTAGTCTCTTTAGCGCCAATGTTTACTGTTAATGGTGCAGAGTCCAGTAAGACTGGGAAGTCAATAAGACCACGTCTACTTTAAATCAAGTGGCAGTGGGCGGAGCACTTACTCATAGCTCGCAGAGCTAATGGCCGCTGTCGCAGAAAAGTTCTCGAATAGCGACCACGGGCCGGAAGATGTAGTGTGGGCAGGCCCCTCTAAGTAGACCGACGATCTGGTGAGGGTCGCAGGAAGTCTATGCGGGCGGCCGGACGTTGTGGAAATCCTTGGGGGAGGCCTTTGTCCAGCAGTGGACGTCATTTGGCTGAAACGAACGAACTTACCTTAAAGGTCTAGTAAGTGCCATCGGTGCTGTCCTGGTAGAGATGCGCTGACGGCTGTACGGGCTTGGCCTGGTACTAATAACCTACTTGGGGGTGTGCATAATACATATAAAAAAATACTTAGCTTTGACCTTACTCATGTTAAAGTCTGATCACTGGTCTAGTTCTATATGACTCACCTTAAAGGTCTAGTAAGTGCCATCGGTGCGGTCCTCGTAGAGATGCGCGGGCGGCTGCACAGGCTCGGCCTGGTAACAATGGCCTACTTCGGGGTGTGCATACATACACAATACAAAAATGCTTAGCTTTGGAGTTTACTCACCTTATCACTAGTTTAGTTCTATATTATACACTATACAAGAATGCATGATAAATTCAGTGAACTGCTCCTGAATCGAATGTACCTACTACTGCTATTTCTATTTATTTATATTAACCGGCAGACAGTGGTGACTGAGTTTGTTGATGCGCTTTTTCTCAGCCCTTGCCAAATGTTGGTCTCGAAGCGCTGGTAGGGTAAAAAGATTATGAGACATGTAGAGGCTCCTTAAGAGCAAAATGACGATTTGTAAGAACTATTTATTAGTCTAAACAAATAAAGAAATTTTGACTTTATCACTCACCTTAAAGGTCTAGTAAGTGCCATCGGTGGGGTCCTGGTATTGCAGCGCGGGCGGCTGCACAGGCTCGGCCTGGTAGATGGCGCCGGACACGAAGGGGTTGTTGGGCACGTGCTTCTCGGGCGCGGGGGGGCGCGGCGGAGGGATGGCGCCGTACCCTGCGTTCTCAGTGCCCTTGAGTGGGGCTGATGGCTGCTCCGACTGAAGTAATAAGTCATAGTAATGTACAAAATATAGGAAGAGCTAAACTAATGTAAACGCAGGCCTGGAATGGCGGTGTTGAATTTTATCAAAAAGATGTAAATCTGGTAATTAAGCTCAACTGAGCTTATTTGCTTTAAGTATTACGAGTGTATATCTTTTGTCTTAAATACTAAATTCTGCGTATTTTTTTTAAAGCGGATCAGAAATCCTATGATGGACCATGGCAATGATCTACTAAAAAACTTCCCTGAAGTATGTGTCTTAAAAATTGCAATTTCACAATATTTTCGCATAAAAAGCAAAGTTCTCATTAAAAATGGAGTAAAATAAGCCATAAACCATCCTTTCCATCGCGCAACACAAGTTTAGCACAAAAGAACACCCACAGAGATATGGCTATAGATTATTCAGACATATCAGATGATACATACAAAGGTCGTCTCATGGTCCAGCGACTTGACAGGCGTCTCGTACGGCTGGGTGGGTTCCGCCCACGGCTGCAGCTCGCCCGAAGCGAATATGCCGTATATTGTGATGCCGATGAAATGTACCGTGGCGCCCATGAGGAATACGTCGCGCCACTCCGTTATAGCTTTCGCGTAGATTTTCTAAAAATGTTTTGTAGATACAATATTACGGAATATTTGAGAGAAATCAACTAAAATGAATAAATAACTAAGTAATAAAGTCACAGATTGTTATAAATTTTGTTCTCAAGTATAAATAAATAATTTCTTTTATCAATATCCATTCAATAGATTTTGCGTCTAAAAGTAACAAACATCAATATAGACATAGTACATCCACAGACGCTTTTGCGTTTATAATATTAGTAAGATAGTATGTACTACCTATGTCGTTAGCAAATGGGTAGACGAAAGAGAGAGGCTGTCAATAGTGATTTTGTATTGTGCTTCTAACGGACTATTTTTAGAAAATAGGTAATGATACGAGCTTTGTTTCCACTGTGCTCAATATTCTTGCATGATATGATTCGAACAATATACCTTTTTTAAGGGTTACAAACTCGAGTCGACTCGTCAGCCTGTTGTAAGTTTCATACATTCGTCATAAAATAGAATAGGTAAGCGAAATTTTTCATCTCTGTGACAAATCTATACTTATAATAAATCTGTAGAGAGGTCAATTCTGTACATGAAATATATTTTCAAAATAACTATCAGGGGGTGATTAGTGATCGATACTGATGCCAAAAATGCAATCAGTAAAATTTTTGTCTGTCTGTCTGTCCGTCTGTCTGTCTGTCTGTCTGTCTGTCTGTATGTTCCATATAGAAACAAAAACTACTTGACGGATTTTAACGAAACTTGGTACAATTATTCTTCATACTCCTGAGCAGGTTATAGTATACTTAGGAATTCCCACGGAAACGGGAATTAGCGGGAAAATCCTTTTGTATGAAAAATCTAAACCGCTTAAGATAGATGAAGGGGGTAAAACGGGATCCACGCGTACGAAGTCGCGGGCGGCCGCTAGTAGACAATAATCCTCCCATAAACTCAGGTTTTCTCTCCTCCTAGTTTAGAAAATCATATATGCTTAAACCTCGTCCTGTCCTCATCATTTGAAAGTATATCTGAAAACAATCATATTTCTACGACTGCTCATTCAAAATTGCCTAAGCAGCTTTAGCCGGTAGATGTAGTTCTTCCGAACCCCTTTAAAGCAAAGGCACCCGTGCGCAATGTCCCGACTGCGGCGATAATATAGTGCTCAGNGTGCTCACCGATAGTAGCCGCCTCGCCGCGCACCCACGCTCATTCGGTATTCCACCCGCGTTCCTACAGCGCGATTTCTTTTTTAAATTAGCCACGGCCGAGTGTCCTTTTTGTTTCGCGAGGAAAGCGATACCTTGTTTAGGGGAGAACGTTTGTCAATAACGATGGAGAAACGAGAAACTCTGTTATTGTAATTCTATTGTGAGAATAAAAGTAATAACTGTTATGGTGACGTCGCGTTATACATTTATTCATAGCTTCGAATTTTACTTGGAAGCGACACAATTTGTTACATTAATGTATTTTGGTTTAGGGGTGGAGGCAACCATGAAATGGTCAACTCCTTACTTATTGAATACGCTAAGTGACGTTTGCTCTGAATACGTAATAAATTAGGTTAGACCAAACGATAGGTACTCTATCCAAGTAGAGATATCAAGAAATTAAGCAGTTTGCATCAAGCATAGGTATTGGTATGGTTACAAGAACAAATAGTGTAGGATTTATTATGTAAATACAGTGTGAGTCACGTTAAAGTGTACATATGAAAATAGATGAAACTAGACCTATTTTTATCGACAAAAAAGAGGTAAAAAATTTTTTGAGATTTTTTTTATTTTTTTATAGAATTTTTTTTCTGCCAATTACTTATTGTAAAGAAAACGTAATAACTTTTAAACTAAGCGGTATATTCTGATAAAATAAAAACAGTAACAATGCTAAATAACAGGCAATACTAAAAAAATACATAAAATACACAAAAAAGGCCAACAAATAATAAAAAATGAAACGATCATAGCAAATGTTGTGATAGGGATAGAGACATGCGATTTTTGGTTTTACAAAGATAATACGATAGAAAATAATACAAAGTAATAAAAACCACCTGTTATAGGGGCATTTTTTGGAGAAATTTATCAAATAACCAAAAAAACACGAATTTTAAAGCAGATTTTTTTCAAAAAGTATCATTTTTTATAATTTTTGGCCTTTTTTGTGTATTTTATGTATTTTTTTAGTATTGCCTGTTATTTAGCATTGTTACTGTTTTTAGTTTATCAGGATATACCACTTAGTTTAAAAGTTATTACGTTTTCTAAAAATTCTATAAAAAAATAAAAAAAAATCTCAAAAATTTTTTGACCGCTTTTTTCTCGATAAAAATAGGTCTAGTTTCATCTATTTTCATATGTACACTTTAACGTGACTCACACTGTATAAGGAGCTTGACTCAAGCATTACGCAAATATTATACTCGTAGATAGCACTCAAGCAGGCATGACTCAAGTAAAAATATACATACTTAGTACAAGTATAATAGCTTGCCTGTTTTAACTTCTACTAGATTTACAGATCTACCTATATTCAACTTTCATACCCATTTCATTCATAGCATTAATTTCTAAATAGTCGATTATTAAAATTGAGTATGCCAAGTAATACCAACCCTGTCTTGAGTTATGTAGTCAATCACGATGGGTACCAGGAACCCGGCGATGGTGCCGATGCCATTCGACAGCCCCATGAGGATGGACGCGTACCGAGGAGCGATGTCCAGGTGGTTCACGTTGTACCCTGATATCGCGAAGCCACTGAACGCCACACCCAGAGTCAGCTCTATTGTGGCTACGTACTAAAATAGACAACACATTTTTCAAAATCTAAACAAGACAATAGCTTCTGAAGTAAAATCAAAATCATAAATATTTTATTAAGTATATTTTGGCACTTATAAACGTCAAAAACAATTAAAAAATGTAGCCCTTAAGGGACACTTTACATGTCTCCTTATCTTTTGGGCTCTACCATCGAAGAGAAACATATTTGGCAAGTGCTGAGAAGAAACACCAGAACAAACTCAGTCACTACTGAGATAGAGTCATAGCAAACACGATATGAAAAAGTTCAAAATGGATTTACGATTGTCATAAACACAATGACCCAAAATACGGACGTAAATGTATTGGCTTTGTACCCAATGGATTAAATAGACTAACCTTATTATTGGCGTAGGCCACGAGGACGAAGAAGAATGCTTCCATGCCGAAGCCGCCACAGTTGAACAGTTTCCTCACGTTGGTGGTGGTCATAATGTTGTTCTTCCGCAGGTAATCGGCTAGCATACCACCGATAGGCACGAGTGACGTCATGATCAGGTGAGGTATAGCGCCAACGAAGCCAGACTAAAAGAAATGGACGCAAACAGGCGAAATGACCCTATATTTTGGCACTTATAAACGTCAAAAACAATTAAAAAAATGTAGCTCTTAAGCTCCTTATCTTTTGGGCTCTACCAGCGCTTAGAGACAAACATATGGCAAGTGCTGAGAAGAAACGCCGGAACAAACTCAGTCACTACTAAGAGATAGAGTCATAGTAAACACGACATGAACGAGGTCAAAATGAATACACGATTGTCATAAACCGTCATAAACGATTGTCAATGACTCAAAACACGGACGTAAATGTATTGGCTTTCCCAAAAAATAATTCATAGATGTCTACCATTAACGGGATCTTATTTCAACACTGATTAAAGTGAACTACACTCGTGAAGTGTTACTGACGTGTAACAATTCGTTTTATGTATGTGAATTGTGAACGGACAAATAACTGAAATAATAGTATAGATTTATTCAATTTTGGTGTAGGTACCCAATGCACAATGGACTAAATAGACTAACCTTATTATTGGCGTAGGCCACGAGAACGAAGAAGAATGCTTCCATGCCGAAGCCGCCACAGTTGAACAGTTTCCTCACGTTGGTGGTGGTCATGATGTTGTTCTTCCGCAGGTAATCGGCTAGCATACCACCGATAGGCACGAGTGACGTCATGATCAGGTGAGGTATAGCGCCAACGAAGCCAGACTAAAAGTATGTTGATTTTGAGAAANTAAAAGAATAATTGTATCACCTTTTTTACATTATAAACAAGTTACACAAACTATGAAGAAGTAAAAAGATTGGAGACTCAAATAACAATAATTCATTCTCAACTGAAATGTAAGATTTAATCGCAAAATTTAATAATGAATGTAAAAATTTGGTACCTCAGTAATCTCCATTTTAAACCTGCTGCTGAAATATGCAGACTGGAATATGACTAACAAACAGAAGTTCCATGTTCTGCAGAAGTTGGCCACGATGATAGCGTAAACCTACAATGGAAAAACAACTGTCTTACAAATTGAATGAGAAACATGTGAAAGATGAAACAAGTCATTATAGTTATCAACATTAACGGTTACTATAATTTAGATCGGTATTTTTTTATGAAATGTGATAGACTTTTAACGTTTTTTACGGTCAAAGTTAAAGTGGTGCTACTCATCCTTAGTTTGGGGGTATCTTAATTGTAATCTATCTATATCTATCTATAATAAAATAAAGTCGTGTTAGTTACACCACGTTATAATTCAAGAACGGCTGAACCGATTTAGCTGAAAATTGTCAGGGAGGTAGTTTAGAGCCAGGAGAAGGACATAGGATACTTTTTATCCCGTTCGAAATTAAAAAAAAAGTCTGCTTATTTATTGCCATTAAGGCGGAACAAAGTTCGCCGGGTCAGCTAGTATCTAATAATGTTTTCATTTTATTAATGAAGTTCATAGTTACCGGAGGTGAGGTCGCGAATTCCTTCCAAGGTGTAGCCCAAAAGCCAGGCATGGCGGCCTGGGAAGCCGTTCCCAACGACTCCTCAATGTAGGTCAGCTCCTTGCCAGCGATGTGTGGGTGCTTGCTCGGCTTCTCGAATACCAGCCAGAGCCACATCGTGTACCTTTGAGGCAGAATAAGTACATTTTATTAGGTACTAGTGGCCGCCGTGACTTCGTACGCGTGGACCCCGTTTTACCCCCTTAGGGGTTGAATTTTGCTCGGAAATTATTCGAACTTTTCTCGCCGTAAAAACCATCCTTGGAATTCAACAAACATTAAAAAAAGAATTGGTAATATTGGTCCGGGCGTTGTTGAGTTATGCGCTTACCAACACATTTTGCGATTCATTTTTAGATTTCGATTTTTTATATTATAGAGAACTGCAACATTGCTATTATGAAATTAAGTAGGAAGCTTTTGCTCTACATCGACGATAATATTACAATGTGTGCCAAGGAATTGCATACGATTTTATATTGCTATTTGCTTCCTTTAGGACTGCACTCAAAGAAATCAACTCCATTTTAAATTGCGTTCTATAACTATAGTCATTCATACTTGACTGTCGTAAAGTCACTGTGAACTTACAATCATTCATTATAACTTATACCTAATAATATTTCTTTATCTAGTGAAATTAAAACTAGACCAAGCATCTTACTGTTTATTTATTAATTTCAGATGGCAAGTAATCAATTGATTCTCAAGTGTATCGTCAGTACTTTTTTCCTGGCGGGATCCGGCAAGTCACTGATCCACCTTTTAAAAAAAATATCCGTCTCGTGGGCCACCCTGTGTTAACGTAGACTGAAGACTCGTTCCCTTTACTGTATTTCACATCTGCTAACACTTACCAAATGACCCCGAAAACGCCATAGAAATAGAACGGCGCCTCCCACGAGATGTAGTCGGTAAGCAGCCCTGACAGCGGCATGCCCACCACGATCCCGGCGTAGGTGCCACAGAAGGCCAGCGTGGCCAACCGCGAGCGCTCCAGAGGCGGCGCCCAATTCCGCCAGATGCCGTGGCAGGAGGGGTACGTTACACCCTGTATATGGAATGGTGTTAGGTTCCGATGTCTAGTTCGACAACTGAAGACTATTGATTTAATTGATAAGTTAAAATGTAATTAAAACAAAAATAATACATGACATTTTACCATCATATAATTATCTCTCCCCTATATCGAATCGGTTTAATACTTTAACCTATTCCGAATAACTTTATTGCATAGAATGTTCAGGAAAAATCTAAGTTATTCAATCTTTTGTGCTCATCATACAATGTCTATTCTCATGAGACGACCTTTATAAAAAGATGATACATCTCAGTATATGATCGTATCAGCGTTTCCCGGTATTAGATTTAATAGGATAGCGCTGGCATTGAAAAATCAACTAAGCCGGGATGTACTGAGCGGAGCAAATACGTAGCCATGGCGACGGAGGGCCCGATAATCCTAAAGAGGCTTTGTACTTTGGAAATGATGCCGACTGTACTCGAGTGCGATTCGAGATGGATACGAATCGATGTGCTATCTAATTGAAAACCGACCCTCCGAAACGATAATGCTGATAAAAGAAATATTAGGATTTCAATTAAAACATCTGCCGGCTATGACTGATTGGATTGTTATCCTATGTCTTTACAGGGTTATGTTCGATATTGTGATTATGTCGTCGAGTCCTTAAGTTAGATAATAGGTAATCTAAGATGTTAAAGTATGAAATTGCCTTTTTCCATATATAGTTACCTACATTTCTGCGATTTTTTAAGGAAACACAAAGCATAAGTAGTGTTAAAGGAATTAAATACTAAATCGGCCATTTCATACTTTAACCTCTATTACTTTATTGCATCGATGTCACTATTCTCTGACTTAACGGACTGTTTATTTTGTGGGAGAATTAAGTATGATTATAGTACCCTTTCTTTACTTTGGTAAGATGTACCCATGCTTTAAACATTTTATTTCACCGCAAATTTTCCCTATATTCCGCCTCAACTTTCATGTTATTATTCAATCATATCGTATTAAATTAGCATCGCCCTACACCATTGCGCTTTGTTAAAGATACAGCGTATTATGCAGAATTTAGTTTGTCTATTGTACCAAAGGAAGGGGAGTGGAATCCAAACGTGACGAACGTATTTGATACAGTTCGGCTTCAAAATTTTAAGCGTCAGTAATAAGCTTGATCATGCTCCGGCACGGACTGAATGCCAAATGTCGGAAATTTTAAACGTATGGCGTTATACTCGTTACATGCTCATCGGGGAGTTGCTACCCCATGGTTTTTGAAGTTATGTTGATAATCAGCACACATTCCAATAACGTTTGTAGACACTTTCTGTTTTCGTGAATATGTCACTAATTTTATAATGAAAACGATTCTCACAATAGGGTTATATTTTTTATACAATCTATGTAAATCAGCTAAAACAAAAATAAGTTAAACATTAACAAAATTGTACTTACTTCAACAAACCCTTGAGCTACTTTGAGAATCACAACAGCAGCAGGTCCCACAGACATGGCTCCGGGTATCGCCATATTCAACAAAGCTGATATGGCAATGGCCGCTCCGAAGATCCTGTTAGCCGGGTACATCGAGGCCAGGAAGCCTCCTGGCACTTGGGTGATCAGGTAGCCGAAAAAGTACGATGAGTCGATCGAGGACTCCACCTCCACCGTCCAGTTGAATGGCGTATTCTGCTCAAGAAGGATATTATTATAAGAACGGCGTTATTAATAATGGCGTTATTATTAACGCCGTTCGTTGTCTGAAATAAAGAATTGAGTATTGAGTATTGAGTATTGAAATAAACTCTTTGCATCACAAAGTTGCTGGCATTCACTCCACATTCTTTTGGGACAACAAAAAGGATTCTTGAAACTTACTGTGGAAACGATTGTCCGAGTGTTGGGAGTTCGTTCTAGTTTGATCTTTTGTCCGTATTTTTAATTGTTCTCCGTAGAATTTATCTATTTTATATTTCAACGGCCTTTATGTAAGTATTTAATGAATAGCTAGTGCACATACTTAATATTCGTTTAATTGATGCCTCCCTTTATTAAAATGACCCAAATGTATGTGGTGTGAGACGACACAAAATCGTGATGCAATCACTATGCTTTCTAGTTATACTCGTAGTTAGGTCATAGCAGACTTGATTCAATTTGAATATTTGATAAGGAAGAATATACTTATACTAAGATTTTATAACAAATAGTACCTGAGCATAATAATATGTTTGGGTGATGTGATGAAATATGTAAGCTTTCTTTTCGCATAGTCAGGTAAGAGGGTGAAGGTGTTTTTTTTTATAAGGAGCACTTACGTTGATCTCCGACATCTTGAGCTTGGCCATGCTCATGTTGCAGCGCATGCCGAACATGATGCTGAAGCCGAAGCAGGCCAGCAGCGCCACCGTGTACCGCGCCGACAGGCATGGGCACTCGGCGCGGATATACTTGTCTGCGATCCACACATTTACTTATAACCCCTATTTATTTATAAACAGACTAAAAGTCTACAGGGTGACTTTGAAATCGTTAGCATCCTTTTAAAATAAGACTCTACTCATGATACATAGTACATTCCCCAAATATGAGACTTCACTATACGCCGAATACAAACATTACCTATGGGTCGTGGTGGTGGCCTGTCAGGAGACGGTGGCGTCTCCAAGTCCTCGCCATCGTACATTTGATAACCCTTCTGCCCCACATGGAAGGTTTCATATTGTGAGTTCCTGCAACAAAGAAAACGATTGTCAGTAAACGAAATATTACCCAAGACTAGTTTGTTAAACTAGAAAGACTCTAGATTTCTAGTTCTTTAGCGTTCGTTCTAGCCACCTAACTTTAACGATAACCGGTGCTTTTTGTATGGAGTTTGACAGATTTTTGACGTTTGTTACAGTTAAATTAAGATGGTTCAACACAGCGTAAGCATTTCATTTAGGTACCTACTTAATTGTTTTTTATTCCATGATGTACCTACCTAATAAATAAAATGATCAAGATCATACGATATTTCTTGCCAATGAATATTATTTAAAATCCATCAAAAGCTGTTCAAAGGCTTAGTTACTCTGAACTGTTTTATATTATTCGACTGATATTTAACTTACAAGACGCGCGTAACTATCAGATGATTTAGGGTTAATCTACCTTGCAAAACAAATTCATATCTCCAGCATTTTCCGAACAGGTTAATTAAAACGGGAGTGGAAGCGATGCACATCTGCTCCCGAATAGGATTAAAAAACATAACAAGTACTTTATCGACACGAGAGATGGGAAGGGCAGGTAGTAAACATGAGATTCGAGATGCGATTAGTTTATATGCATCAAACGAGGAGACATAGGGCATGATTATATTTTTGTACTCTATCAGAAATATGTTTCGTTAATTTCGTTAAAATAAGTATAAAAACACAACGAAATTTTTGAAACCGTAGGTAGGCACTTGTCAATAGTACCTAATATTTGTTTTAATGAATGCAAAACAAAAACCTATTCAAAAAATATGTGATGTTCTCTTCTGTGTCCGCGAACATTGAACTGTCAATGGAATTCCCTCGAAACATCCTCACTGAGCCAACACTATCGCATGTATTCTACAAAAATAGCTCGCTACATCATGGGGTAACCGATTTCAAGCGATGTTCTTTTGTTTTACGTTCGCGTACATTGAAGTGTCAATCGAATGATTCGCTCGAAGCACATCCTCATTGGGCCAACACTATCGCGCGTATCCTGCAAACATCGCTCGCGACATCACATGTAACCGAATTTTAACCGATGTTCTTTTGTTTTACGTTCGCGAACATTGAAGTGTCAATCGAATGATTCGCTCGAAGCACATCCTCATTGGGTCAACACTATCGCGTGTATCCTGCACACATCGCTCGTGACGCGCGTAACCAAAATTTAAGCGATGTTCTTTTGTTTTACGTTCGCGAACATTGAAGTGTCAATCGAATGATTCGCTCGAAGCACATCCTCATTGGGCCAACACTATCGCGCGTATCCTGCAAACATCGCTCGCGACGCGCGTAACCGAATTATCGCGCGCCGCCGAGCAGTAGCGCAGTCAGCCATCACGCCGCCGATTGAGTTATCGCCGGGAGTATGACGCGATCCATTGTTTGGAACTAACAGCTTGGACCTATGCATGTGTTATTGGATAGCTTTTTTTGAAATATGCAACGTTGTACCTAAAAAAGTTAGTCAACCCGCTGCTGTCACTGGAAAAATTCTGTAGATTCGCCTGAGAAAATTTTCGTAGTTCTTAAGGGCGTTTTCTAGCCACATGCATTTGAACTTTGAACCTCCAGTGTATATTTTTATTTAATTTTTTCTAAGGAGATTGTAATAACATAGATATTTTCCTCTTTCACAATAAAGTAAACTCTCAACATCATTGCATTAGCCAAAGAAAAATGTAGAGCTTGACCAAACCAATAATTTATACCTACCAACCAAAACATTAGCGATAACATCGCTACCGGGTAGAAGCATTGGCGTGTAAATTCATTTTTCCGCTGACAAAAGTAATAAATGTGACTATCTGTTCGCTCCCCCATTTAGACGCCATCGGTAATGAATCGTCGCATAAAAGGCATAACCAAGTGGAAGCGACGCTCCCCCCGATGCGCTGACTGGACGAGATATCATGTCAACAGTCGTAGCCGGATAGACGCTAATTTATTCATCATTTGAGGCAAGACACATTATTATATTAATGGGAGAGTACCAGTGTCTGAATTAAACAATGCTTGTTCAATTAAAAATCTGATTTTCATCATTATACAGGGTGGAAACGATAAGTGATCTCACTCGATTATTATTCCTAAATTATACAAGATATCGAAAAACTGGTTACTGATCCTGAAAGTGCTTCACCAGTTCTTTCAAACGGCATCAAATAATAGGTTACAGAATAACTGAATCGATCCAAAAATTCAATGTTTCCAGTTTCCATACATTTAGTACAGCCACTCTATATAGTTTTTAACTATGCAAGATATCGTAAAGCTATTTACTAATCCTAAAAAAGCTTCACGAGCTCTCCACAAAATGGCAACACAAATATAATCTTATATAGTTTAGAAATAATCGAGTGAGATCACTTATCGTATCCACCCTGTATTTCTTTGTGATGAACTTTGTGAGATACTTAAATGTAGTTGCTTCTTAGGGCTTTCCTTTTGCACTAACTTTGAGCTACGAAGGATGTGCTATGTCAAGAAAATGAAACATAGATTCAAACCCTCGCACGTGTTTAGAATTTCCGTAGAACCTAACTGAAAGCCAAATGCTCTTAGAATAAAGCTTATCTATTCTCACAAGATGCTACTATCATAGACTACATATACAAATTCATATGCTTACGTACATTACTAAAGGCTTCACGCCATATGAATATTAAGCAATATAACTGTAGAGCTATACTTATTAAATTATAATATTCTCTGACAGAACAGAATACTTCGATGACTGCGTTAGAATACGTAGAGCAAAATCGTATATTATTTCATTAAGGATTCTCTTCTTGCAAATACAATGATAACACCATTTGAAGTTTTAATTACATAATTGCAGAATCTGAATTAGTAAGTACGTTTGATTTATGCAACATGGAAATGTTAGCAAAATGACTGTAGGTATTGGTTTTAAAATGAATAGATTACGCTATAGGTAAGATAAAAGTATTGTCATTTAAGCTCCCCCGCGTAGGGTTGTCACAGCCCGCTAATGCACCCCACACACGGCCTGTAATTACGCGCGTTATTCAAAACGCCGTAATTGCTGTTTAGGCCGTGACTACGCCCCGATAATGGATACAGTCATTTTGATGTTTAACTTCACAGATTGATAGAGTTACAAAGTTTGTAGTCATGAAATTATGTAGAAATACATTTATTTTTTCTTCTGCAGGAAGAATTGAAATGGGAAACAAAAATATGAGGGTTAAGCCTTGTTAATAAAAAAATCTTGTAAGTTAAGACTTTCTGCCTCAAGATTTTACTATGACGAAAAAAGTCAGAACAGACATGAAACCATATTTTACAATATTTTATGATTATGGATTTAAAGATTGTTTTACTACATTGAAAAGTTACATTATTAGCGAAAGAAAAGTTTTATCTTCAATTTAGCAGTTAGGTGTGACTGCTTTAAATTGAGTTCCCTCCGCAAGGCGGTTTCCTAATAGTTTCAAACTACATTACCAAGTAACGTATTGTTAAGTTCAAAGCTAGTGTCAGTGTGCTTTAACTTCCCTAAACCACTTGGAAAATCGCACGCTCATATTCATATAAAGTTTTCCCGGACTTTAATAGAGGTAATACTTTTTTGCTTTGCTTTGCTTTCAAAACCAATAAATTCACACAGGTTTCTCGACTCCTCGAAGACAGAACTCCTGGATCAGACGTGAAGAGCAGGGGAGCACCAAGGGGGTGTATTGCGTAGATCACAATATGCACTTGAGCATACCCCACTATGAATACCTACAGAGCACAGGGAGGAATGCTGCGACTTCTTAATTAATTAATTAACGCCTCAGGAGACGAGTGGATATTCAATGGTTGTGTTTATAATTGTACCATAAGACAGAGATTTACACGGTACATATTCGTGGTTTTAGGGATGTTAGTAGTTGATAGAGATGATTACTAGAAAGATCCGATATGTATGAATATGACACAGATTAAAGTAAAATAACCTTAAAAAATTAAGCAAATAATCTTAAGAATTAACTGCTTACCACTGAAAATCTTTGGCAATTTGAATTTATAGCAATTAATATGACTTGATTTACATTTCCTCTTATTGGCGTAATAGCAATTTTGAAATGAAATCTCGACCCTACTATCGGTTGAACACTTCTTCTTGTGTTGCCAAAATTTCCTAATGTACAAGTCAGACCTTGCCAAAAACTAGCGGACAATAATAAAAATGACGGTATTTCGAGCCCATCCCTGGGCGGGCGAGTGGGACGGGGCGACTATTACACCCCTGAGCCCACCCCCTCTAATTGATTTACAATTGTCGGTTAAATTTGTTTCCCGACCACCCCACCGATCACGATCGCCGATCGCGAACGCTTAAGTTTATCTATCTAGGTGAATAATAAAAAGCCAAGCGTTACGCGGTCGGTGACTTGAAAGTCATTGTTTGTTTTATTATGAACTTGCCTTCATTTCTACGATTTTGCAAGCTTTGAGATGATCCTTACTAGGCCAGTAAAATTAGATTTTAAATCGGAAATAATTCCTACAAATCGGAAATAATTCCCAGCCGTTCCTTGTGTTCAATTCTACTGGCCTATACGCCCGTATTCACAAACGATGCTTGCCTAAGTGAAGCAGCAAATCGAACGCACAGTGTTGAATAGAGCTTTGTGTTTGGTTCGTGTGTCACCCTGTGCATCCACGCGCACTGTGCGACCTCATAGTAATGTTTGTGAATACGGGCGTTAATCAGTCATTGTGACTAATATTATTTTAAAAGATAATCAAACTTTTTACGAATTACGTCTAATGCTTTTCAGCACAAAATATACTGAAATTCTGTAAGATAACTTTTAATAGACCTACACTCATGAATCATTGAACCAGATTTCAGTACGGACCTCCAAACGTCGAGACTGAAGGAAGGAACGAAGCGGATTGTGAATAAAACATGTAATATATAAAATGTACTGTAACGACCTATTACGTACTAAAGACAGTATTCATAGTCC